CGTTTGGTCAGATTGGTTTTTTCCGTCTTCAGTTCTTTGTTATTTTCTTTCAACTCTTTCAGCTCTTGTTTTACCTTCGCCATATCGTCTACCGCCTTCTTTAGCTTTTCTTCAAAATCCATGCGCTAAAGGGAAATCTCACCCTTCAGGTCCACGATGCACTCCTTTAGATAGCCAACTTTCCCTGCCACATAGAAAATGTTACTTCACAATGATTGAAACCAAGTTATAAACACACAATACACATATGGTGATAACTTACCAAGCACAAACATGATAAACTGATTGGCAACACTGAGATTCCCATAAGTCAACAGCCATTTATCCATCGGAAGCTCTTCAATTCGGGGACCTATCTCCCTTCCCTTTGCGTACATATCCGCATCAAAGCCCCAACCTTCCCCAAAATAGACCAATTCTGGAAAATCCTCATCAGTCTTTGAGGATTTTCTCTTCTTTCCCTGCGGTGAGTTCTCCACCTCTTTATTTTTTGGGAGAGGCGACATGGGTAGCTGCATAAGGAGGACTAGGCGACTTCATATGCGCAGCAGCACCCTGACTAGATTCAGCACCAGCTGAAGTAGTAGTAAGTGGGGGCATGTTCGAAGTAGAAGGGCTGGCACCTTTCGCAGCCCGCATTGCCGCTATCTTCTGCAGCCTAGTTAAAGTGGCAGCCAAGAACTATCTGCAAAGAATAAAAGAGTCTGCGTTAGACATATACAAAAATCAACACAAATATGCATGATTCCTTTAGATAAAACTGACAAAATACAAATAAAAATTTATCCAAGAAGGCTCTAATGTCTTCATCAGTATATTCATTTAAAATAGTAAAAGCGATTAGGTAACCCATATCAGAAGCCTCTCTCGCAATATTGGTTAAAGTGGTTACAGTATGTTGCTCATAATCACTCAAGTCGTCAAAATCGTAGTTCAATTTTTGACCATCTAACGGTTGCTAGGTCCAGTAAAGGGAAAATGGGGGAATTATCTTCTCTGTTCAAGAAAAATGGTTGGGAATCTTTGGCGGGGAAAATTTTGAAGTAGTCTATAGACCACTTGTGAACCTTCCTCTGATAGGAAGCGCGGAACTTGTATTTATCTTTTCCTCTTAAAGAGACCCGGCTGGAATGCGGTCACATCACACTGAACAGACATAAGAAAGACTCTGGGGATTGAAAAAGATCATAGTCCTTACAGACCATCTCGTACACCCTTATGAAGCCCTAGGCATTTTGAGTTAATTGTGAGAGCGCTACATTGGTATTTTCCAGCAACCTTCAAATGAAGGCTGAAAAAGGCAGACGTACTCCTAATGACAGAAAGAAGTGTGCATACATCATTATGAAATGCCTGGAAGATCCTTCAGAGCGCGGTGAACAGACGCGTTCATTTAAGGGAACGACATCTACCTCCCACTTATCATCATGAGCTTTCTCAGGGGTAACATGGATGGCGACCTTTAATTGCGCCAATTCTTCTGCAGAGCTATATGTTGAGGCAGTATCCAAAACAATGTATGATACCCAGCTCAGAGATTCTTCATCCCGAAGATTACGCTTGACCGGTCCGGTTGCTTCAGGATCAATCTGTAGTATTTTCTTCTTCACATCAGTGTTCAGCTTCTACTTTTTCTTCTTATCACCAGCACTGCTCCTTGCCATAATCTCTTTTATTTTAGGCGAAATGAAATCTGATGCAGAAGAGGAGGAATTAGTAGAGGCAGACGAGTCAGAAGAAGAAGAGACAGCAAATGCAGACTTAAAATTGTCAAAATTCCTTTTCTTATATGGATACCCTGCCGGGTAAATAACATTTAAAGGTAAGGGGCTTGGACTCCTTTGGCTAGGACGATCTCGCGCGATGGAAGGAGAGGTATCGCGCGATGAATTTGAGAGAGAAGAGTTGGACTTTAAGGTATTAACGGACTTATAACTACAACCAGAATTTGAGGTAGAATCACTCGAGATGAAGATAGGACTGGACATTTTAAAGGGAATTTTTGGAAAAAAGGACGAACTTTGTTGTGACAAAGTTCTGGTTATCCCGCAGTTAGGTTCTCGAGAAGATAAACCTATTTCAAACCGTCGAACAGAAGGCGCACGGTTATCATTCAAAGGTACTTTTTTCCAGGGGGCAACACACTTGCCAGTAAGCCACGATTCTCCGGTTCCTAAAGACCTCGACCTAGGTAAGAACCTGGGAGGTGGACTGGAAGAACCAGACCGCTCGACTATTCTGATAAAATTCACAAATTTATGATTATCAGACATACCCCAAGCTCAAATGCAAGAAGAAATTAAAACAGACAAAGCAGAACATGAGGGATAATAAGTAAAGAATGAACATACCTGTGATATATACTTCGGATGAACAAAAAGCGAGCAGGACGTGTCAACACCGGAAGAAAAATGGAAGCAATCAAAGGCAAAAGGAGAAAGGTTTATCACAGCAACGGTGAGTGCTTCGTGTGCTTTCCCTCCAAACAAAGTGGCTCAGTACAAATATGAAAACTTTACCAAACGAAAACCCAAAAGGTTAAAACGTGTTAAGTAAAATGGATAAAAGGGGACACGTGGGAGGAAGGTAAAACCTTTACACTTTGCCCACGATTGTCATTAAGCACCCACGTAACCGTGGCGGCATTAAATGCGTCTGACAGTTAAACATCTAATCAACCATTTTTAAGCGGCTAAGCAATGATGATTTTCGACGTAATTATTGCAGCATTAAGAAAACGGGCCAAAGAAACATATCGCGCCAGAATGATACATATATAACTCCCAGCTTTTCCTTATACCAAAACTACGAGCTAGGGGGCAATTGATCTGGATAAAATACGATAGGCCCATCAAAAGCCCACGTACATAAGGACAAGGCCCAAAACCCGTAAAACCCAGTATAAGGCGTGATGTCTCATATCGCACATTAACTTGGCGTAATGACACCATCGCGCGTGAAACCGCCCTTTAACATACCTTCAAAGATAAGGAAGCCAACACAGAAACTAATAAAGGTCCACCGCGCCCATAAGCAAATAGACAGAGGACAGCACCAGCTCGCCACTACTCTATCAAAGTAGCCTAAACTTAAGAGATAAGGCTATCAAGGCACAGGCTGAACCTGCAGCCCTTAAACGATCAATCAGAAGCCATACCGCCTTCACAAGGCGGCATCAGAACCACTATATAAACATAGGGTACATGCCCAGGTATGATAATCTAATTCGGTAAGAATATACATATATCTGCCATTGATACTGACTTGAGTGTCGGAGTGCCATCGCAGGTACTCCCAGTCTGAATCACTGCGCCAAAGGAGAACTAGAGTCATCACATCATCAACTACAACCTCAAGCCCAAGAAGTTGATCACCCCAAAAGCTTTCTCCATCAACCCTATGTGATTCGACGCAGTACACATTGCCCAGCCCATACTGTATTTGGCTTGATCAGTTAGTATCATTAAAAATAAAATATTGAGTGATGTATTAGTTAATGTTTTAAGTATGCAATATATTCGTGTATTCATATCAATAAATAGATTGTTGTGTAAACAATATTTTGTTTGAAGCAGTATTTAATAGTGTCATTTTGTTAGCTAATAAATAGACAATAAGAGAAAGAGCCCTTATTTCTTCTGAAAAAGCCACATAATCAATTTAGAGGAAGTGCAATATATAATTATAAAGAGTAGACTTAAGTTATATGTATCTATATAGTTAAAAAAACATTTTTTTTTTTTGGAAAGTATTTCAATAAGGGAAACATAATGCAATACAATTAATATAATCAAATCTTTCAATGCACCTCCCTTAAGGGAAAAAAAATATTGACATAAGGAAAAAAATATTGACATAAGGAAAAAAATTTGAAATCGTAATTCAATACACCCCTTAATATTTCAATCAAAATATTTTTGTCTAATTATATTAGAAGAATTTAATCAATTACTAAATTGTACACTAAATCCCACTAAGATCACTCCTGTATTTGATGGACTGTATTAATATAAAATTCGTGCAATTACAAGTATTTTTAAGGCTTTTGAAGTTACAACATTTGTAGTGTTCTTCTAGCTTCTAAGGATGATAAGCAACGCCAAAACCCAACTCTTCTATTCCAGCTTAGAATATTATCAAGTCCAAACCTTTCCTTGAAAACTAAGAACGATTAATTTTGAAGCAGAAACAATGCGGTTAGCATTGGCCGTTTGAATGATTTTTTTTTTCTCCAAAAATTATTTTTTTTTTTGAAAAAAATAATATTTCTCACTACAAAATTCGTTTCGATATCTACTTAAAAAAATAATAATAAAAGCCACAAAAAAAGTTAAAAACCTGCTTTTTTATAAGCTAAAAATTTTAACTTCTAAAAAAAACAAAAAACAAAAATCATTTGTTCAAATATTACTAATTAATAAAATCATCAATATTAACAAATAAATTCATTTTAATTGTTTATCAAAGAAAATTTAATTTTAACTTTTTGCAGAAATCAAATCTCCCAATATTACTAATTAAAAGAATAAAAAAATCTTCATAAGTTTACCATCTCTCAGAAATTACAGAATGTATATTGATATATTCTATTATTTCTGATAATTTGGATACATACATAGGGTGTCAGTGTATAAAAACCTGAGTTTTTCTCTCCTTCATAAGCTCAAAACAGTAAAAAAAAAAATGAAATCCTTATTAACCATCAATCTTGCTGCTTTTGTGGAGCTATTTCCGACCAATCAAGTTGTTGAAAACGATTATTAAAGAGAAGAAAAATAAAAGGGAAAAGCTATCAACTTCAGGGAAGGGCATACCTCCTTAGTCAACTGTTTTAAGGTTTGAATGCACAGTGCCATGCCTCATGCCTCAGTTAAACAATTTGGCACCATAGGAATGCTTTTTGTTAGAATATTATTATTAGAATATCATAACGTGTGATTAGTATCTGACCGTATCTGAGTAGGATTAGGATTAGGATTTAATAGATCAACTGTAATTGATTCTCACATCAATATATCAAGTGTGTGTGGTCAATTTTCACTCAAATCTCAGATAAGTCTTTTAACAAAAGTGGTTAAGAAACTATAAGTACTCTAGATAAACCAAGGTAAATCATCCTTTTCTCCTGAACCATCCAACCAAGTTTGATGCAAGTGCATCCATGTAAACTCATCAGGTGCATCAGCCTGCCAAAATCCATAACTTATTTAGGTAAACAAATTCACAATATTCATGCAGAACGAAATATAAGAGAGGGGGGGGAAGGTAAATCCCTGTACACAAGGCTTCCTGATTTGCAATTGCAAGGGTAAAGATGAGGATCGATTATACGCAATCTTACCCTTATCTTTTTACAAAGAGATTGTTTCTCCGATTTGAACCTGTAACCTTTCAGTCACAAGGAACAATCTTATGACTGCTTCAAGAGACACCCTCATGTAAAACAAAGTACTAAATGAAAAACAAGAGCATAAATTTATAAAGCTGAGTACAAAAGTTCACCTCTGAATTCATCAGAACCTTTGTTAAACAACACCGTAACTCATTCCCTGATTTTAGATGAAATAAGACAGTTTTTAATAAGTCAAAAAGAGCAAGCAATAGAAAGAGGATTCATAAAATCATTGTATAAAAGGAATGAGAATTTCCTATTACTTAACAAACAGTCGTAGATGAGTAGCCTAAAGTACAATGCAAATGAGCAGAAGTTGAAAAAAATTTAAAGGAAAATCACCATATCACATTGAATTAGGCGACTTATGAACAGATGAAAATCAGGCAATTACTCATACAATCAATCATTCATATCATCAAATCCAATCTAAGTTTCTGCAGAATAAGAACTGCATATTATCCACCAAACTGGTAATACCAACATAAACACAGATATATTTCTCACGTATGAACCACTGATGATCACATATACGCTAATGCAAATTGATTGTGGCACTTCCAAACGGTGATCTTTTGATGATCATGAAATCACTTGTGTATAAGATGAAAAATGAGCTGAGGCTATTGTAGTTTATCTTTTTTCATTCAACAACATCAACATCAACATCACCTTTAACCCAAGCTAGTTTATCTTTTTTTCATCAATTACCTAAAATCTTTATGAGTTAAAGAACGCATTTCACCGGAGTACATTCAGGACCAGTCTATTGGGAAAGGTGGAAGGAGTTCCGATTAAAAAGCTATGTAATGGTGGAATAGAACAATATTTTATGTACAGAAAGACAAATAATCAAGAGACTGGTTGACTATAGGCATTCTAGTAAAAGTTCATAGGTGATGGATTTATATAAAGGTCAATATTCTATGAATTTGGAGAAATGATAGATGTAAAAAGGTATAACACCTCACATTTATAAACCATGTATTAATATATTAAATGAGAATTAAAGGAATGGATTAGTGAAAATCCTGGAAATTAGGCTAAAATACAAAGAAAGGGTAAAACGGTAAATAGCCAAACACGCAACCCTAGAAAGGTAAAATTGAGTAGAAGGTCTCAAATGATAAAAATAACCCTGAAAATGGATTCAGAACGAAAAATTGAGTGGATAGGAAAGTTTCACAAAATTCAATGAATAATGTTTTTACCGGGTAAAAATATCGCGGTACGATTGTACCGTAAAACGTGCCGATTGAGTTTTGAGCTCAAGGTTTTGAATACAAGTTATAAATGGTATATAGGACTAGGAAATATGATTTCTGATGAGATTTGACGAAAATTAGTAAGTTTGGGGAAGCGTGCCTACGGCGCGCGTAACAGCTTAAAACAGTATTTTCTCCGAACGACCGGAAAACTCAGGATTCATCTGATGAAGGGTAATGGTTAATGTTAGAAATTAGAGTTTCTAAATAGGCTGTGAATTTACGGACGTTTAGTGGAATCGGAGGGAAAATTCAAGTTAGTTTGAAATCGCGTGAGGTGGCGGTGGGGCCCACCTCACTTAAAGACCACATAAGCCACCTAAGCTCATGACTATTCATCATCTTCTCTTTCCCTCCTCTCCAAACCAACAGCCCCCCTCCCCCCCCCCCCCTATGGTCTCATTTTGCTTTGATTTCTTTCTCTCTTAACTTCATCAATTCTTAACCGAATCGAGTGATTCTTGTCTTAAAATTCGATGGAAACCACCACCCGAACTCGTTCCACCGATTAGTTTCCCTTGAAACCCTCTCTATTGTGAGAAAATAGGCATATACAGCCACGAAAATTGGAGAGAAAATTGGGATTTTGTTGTTGTTGCTCAAGCTTTGCTTAGGGATCAATTGGAAGAGCCTTTGTGACTTATTTGTAGGTAAGTTTCTTCACATTTGAGTGGTTGATTGATGAGTTTGATTTCATGAACCCTAAGCTTGTTTTGGTTGATGTGTGTTGTTAGAGAGCTCAAATGGAAAATGTGTATTAGATGATTATGTCTTAAAATGATGTGTTAGAGCTATAAATGCAATAAAAATTATTGGTGAAAATATAATTTTAACTTAGGAAAATTTTGATGATGTCATGACTTTATGTTTTGGAATTGTGTTAGGATTGTGTAATTGGATTGTTGTATGGTTGTATGATGTTATAATAGGATTGTATGAGGTGTGGAGTAGTTGAATTGGATTGAAAATCCTTTGTGGATTGCCTATGTACATTTCGGCCTAGAGAAGAAAAGAGAGGAATTGATGTTGCAAAAAATTGGTTGGATGATGTGTTGTGTATTGTATGGTAATTAGAAGGGTTGTGTGATGGTTGGAAGGTTGGAAAACCAATGGAAAAGCATTTGATAGTGTTGAGTGGTGTAATTGAACCTAAAGCAAATTAATTGGCAAAATGAGGTTGGAATGATGAAGGATGCAAATTGGCACCTAAAATGGTATTTTGGTGACCTAAGGATGCTTAAGAAAATTTAGAAAAATAAATTGTAAAAATGCACTAATATGGCCAAACCTACCTAGGGTGGGGGAGGATTTTTGACGTTTTTGTATTTCGATAGATTTGCCGTGTATTGATGATTCGTACATGGTTATTGTAGGTTGTCGTACGTAGATTTGAACCCCGAACCGTGAGCTCTGTGGGTTGCCCTTGGTCCCGGACCAAGTGGGATTGAGGTGAGTATTTGAAACCATGATTGGAGAATTGATAACTTGCATGTGTTGGTATGAATTGTAATTAATTGGGAATGTTCTCTGTGTATGCATTTCTGTTGTGTAACGAGCTCGGAGAATATATTGCTTGGAGCTAAATGAAGAGGATTATACAGGTAACCTCTTGGTACTGAGGCTTGATCCCCTTGTGTGTTCCACCATGCCCGTTGAGGGTGATGGTAGGAAGTGTATGTAAGTAATGTAGGATAACATGTTCATGCATTTAGTATGTGTGTTGGTACATAGGATGTACCGTGTCTCTGGCCAGTAGACAGTTTGCCTTCGGGCGTTACGGACTTCCACTGGATAGGTCTCCGAGAGGGAGTTCCAGTTGACCTAGGGTCGTGGTGTGTGATCCGGATAGGAGCACACTAGGAAGTCTCGGGTGGATATGGATGGAGGGTGCCTTGGTTTGATGTTCTGGGAACACGCCTTGGTTGAGACCCGTAAGCTTATATGCCGAGCCAATAGGCCGGACGTTGCGTGGTTTTGGCATTGAGCTTCGTCCTATTTTGTATCCCTATGCTCCCCGATTTCTCTAAATCCCTTGCTTTATCCCATTTTCAAGATGTTATTTTATGTTATTTATATGCATCGAAGTGAGCCATTGGGCGGAGTATTCTCCAGAACCTCTGGGTTACTGAGATATATTCGTATATCTCACTCCGTCTTGGGAGCTTTATTTCAGGAAGTAGCAGTGGCGCTGGAGCGGTGGGCAAGAAGCCCATGGGATGACTGAGACTTAGGATTAGTTGTTTTGCATTTTGGTGACTATTGGGCCTAGGCTAGACTTAGGGCATGAACATCGCATATGTATTTAGGAGGAGATTTATTGTCATATTTGTTCATGTCATTTTGCCTAAGTCTAGTTGCATTTGGATTATGTCATTTTGAGGTTTCTTTATTATGTATTATTTGAAGATTAAGGTTTGTAATTGTAATATGTCATTGGAAGCCTTGTAATTGTACATGAGTTGATGGAAGCCTTGCAATAGCCCTATTTTAGGATTATGATTATGTGTATGTTTAGAAAATGCATGCAAATGGACATTGGTGATTGAAATATGTTAAGTGCTAATAAAGTAAGCAAATATGGTATGAATTGAGTATTTTGATATAAATTGTGAAGGGTTGTAAGAGCCCCAAGGCATTGCTGGTCCTTGTGTGTGCCACCCTATGATTATTAGGTACCATCTGAGGTCATAGATTGCTTGTACAAATTTAAGGATTATTGGAAAAACAAAGGAAACTCTGGCGAATTTTCTATAAATTGGCAGAATTTAGGCGAACTTCGGGAGAGCAAATCTCCCTCCACAGGGGGTCCGATAGGGACGTGTTATACGCCGTTTTGAAGGTTGAGATGTCCTCTATCTTGTGGTAAAATTTGGTAAAAATCTGGGTTGGGCGTCGGCCTGTAGGAGGCAAAGAGCGCGGACTGTTCAGTGGACTACTGCACATTGGGCAGTTCTGGACCAAGTTTGGGAAATTTATTCCCGCTTCGTTCCTTGGTCAAATTAGGTGTATGATGTATCAAATTGAAGCCTGATGTGTCTAGTTTGTTGTATAAGAATTTGAGAGTAATTGGGTGAGTGAATTTTCTGCAGTAATTGATTGAGTGAAGGGTGTTTGGAGCTGTTTTGGGGTTGGCTGGCAGCTTTGCTTGTCCAACTTCAAACATCGATATCCGGAGCAAACGAGCTCTAAATAACTTGTGTGATTGCTTCCTAGAAAGGTAATTGAGTGTCGAATAACATATCAGAAGATGGGAGGCTTGTAGAATGCGGTTTGTCTGCAGAAAATTAAAGACCGAACCATGTTTGGATAGGTAGAAAACGTAAAAGTGAGAAATTAGCTAAGTGGGTTTATGGGAACCCCTTAGTGACTTGAAGGAAGTAATATATGTTATAAAAATAGTTTAAATAATTATTCCGCGAAGATTTTTCAGTTACGGTCACATCTTTTATTTATTACGCTTTTATTGTTTTAAATGCTCGCGTAATAAACGGAGAAAGTTTACTCGCATTTTTATAAATGAATTGCTATGATTGTAACTGCGCTTAATATCATAATTAATGTTAACAATACCGGTGTACAACGGGATGTTACCAAAGGGTACTTGAGAATCTTAGTGATGGATATTGATATCACAAGAGTCACCCGAAAGAATAAGCATGAGGTATGGGATCAGATTCGGTTGGTTAGTGGCTGACATGGACAAGGGAGGGAAATTCTATTACTATATCTGATATATTGGGGAATGAGGAAAAAAGGAAGGGTAAGCATTGTGTGAGTGAATTTGGGGACACCTCTGGTGTATTGAGAAAGCCACTGACTTCTCAAAGTGTCAGTAGTATTTTCTTTCTTTAATTATCCATTTCAGTATGGTATCAATAACAGTGTTTTAAAACCCGGCTCGGACCGGCCGGGTCGACCCGGGACCCGGTGGGTTTCCCGGTCCGAGCGGGTAGTTAGACCGGTTATGCAGTCAGCCCGGATTGGACCGGTTGACCCGGCCGAAACCCGGCGACTCGGTTGACTCGGGTTAAACCGGTTTTTCCTTCTTTTTTTTGGTAAAATTTTTTTGTTGTTAATAAAAACTCTTGAATTAAATCATATTCATATTTTATGATGAATATGATTAAAAGTAAGGTGAAAATAATAAGGTATTTTAGATTAGTGTAGTTCGTTTATGTAATTTAGTTGCATCTTATAATGATCTCATGAAGTTAAGTGGTAATAAACATTGATGGTCTCATGATCTCATCTCAACGGTCTAGAGCTAGAAGCTTAGAAGTATATAATATTTGCGATCATTGAAAACCAATTTATTTTTTGAAGCTCATAGATAGTTTTCTTATGTGAATTTTTATTAATATAAGTAATATTTTTATATTTTTAATATGTGAACAGTAAAACCGGTTCAACCCGGTTGAACCAGTGACCCAGTACCTCGACCGGTTCGATGACCGGTCCGAGTTTTAAAACGCTGATCAATAATGTAATCTGGGTTTTCCAGAAAATACTATCAATATACCCTCAGTTCTTTCTTTTTATTCACTCAGATTCTCTGGTAGCTATCATATATGAATTGTATGTTGAAAATTGAATACTGATTTTCGCTTTAAATAGCTGCAATCAGAAATTGAAGATGGAATCTAATGTGTTATTTTTGAGTAATTTGGCTGCAGTTGTAATTCTGAATGCCTAGAATTACATATTTATGTCAGTAACTACCAATGTTGTTTCTTATATACGCACCGGGAGTCAGATACAAAATAAGTAAAGAGAGATTACCTAAACGATGATGAGAAAATTGAGAATAATTTCTGAACTCCAAAGGAACAAAATTGTAAATGAATTTACTTGAGGAAATTGATGCAAAGATGCTTTACATGGTAAGGAGTGAAGGACAGATATCATTTTCCTTTATACAGTTGTCTTAACAAAAGGAAAATGTGGAAGGAGTGAAAGAGATATCATTTTCCTTTGCTTCTATACAGCCAGAAAAGGACAAGAAAAGAAAAGAAAATGTATTTTCACGTATGGAGGATTTTTCTCTACTCTCAAATTTCGCAACTTCTCTCCTATAAAATTTATCAAATGAATCAGATTTCTACCAAATTTTCATCATTGCCCTGTATCCTCATGTTGTAAGAGTAGAATTGCCATGGAATTGAACTACAACTTGGAATTGTGCATATCAAAGCTGCCATGGATTGGTAAACCTCTACAGTCATGAATAGTGTGGTCAAATGTATTTCTTTAGTTTCTGTCAAAAAATTTAATTAAAATAAAAGGCTACTTCGATAATATCGAAGTACACCAAAACAATGGAATCCTATGGAACAACATAGTGTCATACTCTCTTATTTCAATATTGAACGTCTCAAAAATGAAAATACTCAAATCTAAATGAAGGAACTTCCTATAATACTAGACAGGCTCTTGCAAGCCCAAAACACACATGGTAAACAAAAAGTCATGAAGGAAATAAAGATGCAAAGCTATTGTAAAGCAACTAATCTAACCCAAAAATTTAAGCTATCAGACGAAGGTCACTGATAAGAACCTTGGGATACATCACCCCAAAAGCTAGCTCAAAGGGTGGGAGTGCTCAAGGCCTTATAAACCCCACATTAGTTGTCTATACAACCAATATGGGACTCCAAGTCCTATACCTTACAAATGGGTCCTAACAGTCACATTAACAGTTTTATATTATATTTCTCTACGGTTATAAAAAGAAAGTACTATCAAGAATAAACTTTCAAGACTACTGAACTAAAGTTCGAAACAAATCTCACCTGATAACTCCCACTTGTCAAATTTGACCAGCCATGAGCCCAAACTAACCTCTGCAAAAGATACACGATCAACCCAAACCCGAAAGTCTAGGCCCTGCTTCTCGCCAAATAGCTTTACTAAGGTATCTATAATTTGGTGCATAGGTTGGTCAATTCCTGAGGGATGGACAAAATTTCCCGTAGAATGCTACAGATAAACAAAAATTTGAGAAAAAAGCAGTGGCGCCTCTTCAGGTTTTCAAAAACTACATAAAATGTCCCTCTAGTTTCAAATTGTAAAAACATCACTCATTTAAATTTTCATATAATCAGATAGGAAATAATCGGAGATATAAAAGTCTGCACTTTGAAGACAGCATATCAACTGGAACTTCATATGTTGTGTTTCTCCTTTCACTTTTAAACTATGAAAAAACACTATGCCTGGTCAACACCACCATGTCTTTTCTCACTCGATTTAAACTTCTCACTGATCTCGTTCAATACCTCAACAGTTCTAAATTATTCGAATTAGTAATCGATTTCTAACCAATTTTGCAAGTGCATTTAAAAACTTAAAATTGGATCAAACTTACAAATGTTGATTTTAGATTTTGTATATACAGCTCAGAATTCTCAACTTCTCCACGCCTCCATCTCTCATAAAATAGGTAGAACATCACTACTTCATGGCTAGGACTAGGAATTTTTCTGTTGAACATTGAGTCTCTAATATCTCTTGGAGACACATTTGGACCAAGAGAGAAGTTATCAATGGCTTGCATAATACCAGCTGCACATCTCTCAGTTGCATGAATTATTTGAGGATTACCCCTTCCATTTTCTGCATACCCTTGAACCAATTCTTCCTGGGCATTACTAACCTGAAAACTCGGGACGTGAAGGATCATTTTTCACAGTAAAATCACAATAAACAAACAAGACAGACACGTATATGATGAATTAAATTATTCTTATAATGTCACAAACCATGACACCATAAACTTCAGGTACGCTGAATAGTTCAGCATCATTTCCAGAATCACCACAAACAAGAGTGTTGAGTGGTCCTAGTCCATCAGCTTTAAATTTTTCAAGTAAAAAAGCAAGGGCCCGTCCTTTGCCAGCTCCTTGGGGTAATATATCCAAAGCAATACCATTGCTATAAATTATTTTCACATCTAACTGGAAAAGAAAGGAGTAACATCTCAAGTCACAATAACACAAATATAATGGAAATGCAGCATTTTAATAAAATAATAGATTAAGACTACCTGATCAGCTACCTATGTATACCTGTTTGTCTGTACAGACAATGAGAGAGAGAGAGACGGTTTTAAACGTCAACCGAAAAAAGGAATCTACAGGTAAAGCTTTCAGATAAGGTTGTTCATGAACTATAATCTTACCCCACATTTTTTTATAAATAATAATAAGGGTAAATTACACTCCCCTCCCCTCCCTTGAGAGATGCTCCAATTACATTGGCCTCCCCTCTATTTTTAAGAATTACACTCCTCTCCCTTGAGAGATGAAATGTGCAATATTTCAACTTGTTTTAGTAGTGGTAAGCAACTATGAACATGCCTCTCAGGGGCACTTTTCATCTCTTTGAAAATTTTAATGTCACCAGATGCTAATTTTGAACATCATATTATCGATTTTAGGATTTTAGAAGATGAAATGAAATTTTAAACACTCATACAATCGTTTTTAGAGCTTTACTCAAAATCTTAATTTCATATTCTAAAGTCCCAAAGTTTATAGAAAGGATTCAAGACTAGCTGCGAATGAAGCTTAGAGTCCCAGAGAGAGAAAAGTTATCCCTAAGAGGCTTTATTCACATTAAAATGGACTAAAGTGTAGCACATATCAATCTCTCAATGGAGAGGAATATAATATACCCTATTAATAGTAAATAGTAATTATTATTATTATTATTATTATTATTATCATCATCTTACCCCACGTTTTTCCAAACATTTTGAGAGAGCTTGCATGACTGTTGAGGCCTTCCCTTTCTCCAAATAAAAGCTAACCTTGTGAGGCCGTTGCTCTGTTTCTGACTGCAGAAGTTTCAAAGATAACAAGTGGATAAATGAATATCAATGCTCTTTAATAGCTAATACTACAATTCATATAAGGTCATCCTCCCCAGCATGATTTTACATATATAAGAATTCTGAAAAATGACAAGTATCTTAATTTTTATGAATTTTCGGATTCTATGATAGATACATACCTGAAAAATTAGTTCAGGAAACTTGGCTGTTTCCTCTATAACTATGTCTCTGTTCCAATTATGAGCCAGATACTGTTTCCACCCTTCATCTGGGAGCATGGAATCACCATATGTAATCTCAGTTCCCACAGACATTATTGTAATATCAGGAGTCAACAAAGGTTTCTGCTTTCTTAACTCTTTATAAATAGTAGGTGATCTCCCAGTGGAGAAAACTAGCAGAGAATTCTGACGATAATAAGCTTCCCATAGTGCATTAAACCTCAGAAGAGCAAGATTTTCTGGATCATCATGATCTACCTGCAATGAGACACACAGGTTTCACCAGATTCCACCCAAACATCATCCAAAGTCAGATAATTGCCAAAATTATGATATCTACCATTGTGAAATCAAGATCTGAAACTATCATTAGATTGGCAGAACCATTGAGTCGATCCATATTTTTTCTTTCCTTTTATACCACTGGAAATCCCCAAAAATTAACCTTGTATATAAGTATCTTCACAAGTAGCATTCCTGCAAATTCTCCACTAGGTTAGATTCAAACTAATGTAGTTCAAACTTCAGAGTCCTAAGCAATTTGTTTAAGAATCCAAAACATAACCAGCTCTAATACAAGAACCAAATCTCACTAAAAACAAAACCCAGATTGTTATATAAAACACAGGCCTCACACACTACAGTATAAGTGTAGTTCAACACTTATACTATTTACCACAGAATACCATAATACTCTAACACATATAAAAGAATATAACTAATATGATTACTGAAATAAAGCGAAAATATAAATTTTACAGCAGCTCCATCAATTGGGATATGAAACATCTCGAAAGAATTATAAATTCAAACCTAAAATAGGACACCCCAAAATTCAGGTTCATTGATTTGAGCATATACCCAATATGGAATTGAAAATGCAGAAGTTCAACTCCTCCACAGAACAGAGGGACTCAAGTATGACATCAATAAACTAAAATCATCCGAAGAAAAGGGGGAACTAAGGAATGGCATGAACAAAACCTACCTGCTTTTAACTATTCAAAACATAGATTTATGCACATATAGAATTTGCAACAAAGTTCTTCAAAATTGTGGCAAGCCAGTAAAAACCAAATAATAATAATAATAATATATAAAAAAAAGAAAACATATATGTCGTTTCAAAAAATATAGAATTATATCATTTTTTTAGATAAATTAAAATTATGTTATTTTAAAAATAAAATATAAATTAATATTATTCTTTTATATAAAATTTAAATTAAAAAAATATCTACTTTCTCCCTTCATAATTTCTATTATTTTTTTCCTCTCACTTAAAATAATACAAACTCTATATTCTTTAAAAAAACGAATATCAAACAAAAAAAAAAAAGGTTTGGTGTTTGTCATTTTAAATGATATAACTTATGTCATTTTAGGAGAGAGATAGACACAAAAAAATGAAAATCATGAGAGAGAGAAAGTGGGTGGTTTTTTTTAATTTAAATTTTAAATAAAAAAAATTTGTGTCTATCTTTCTTTTAAAATGATATAACTTTATGTCATTTAAAATGACAAACGTTTTTCCCAAAAAAAAATTGTAGACATATAGAACAAACATTAACATATTCTTCTATGCTTAAAAAAAATTAGTTCTCCCTTAAAAGGAGAAGTGTTTCTTTTTTTTTTGGAAATAAAAGGAAATTTAAAACAAAACAACTACAGACACAATCAGGGCATAGCCACACCAACAGCAACATCCCTCAAAACGGATTCGCAATATGTTGGAGGCTCAGCGAATTCTTGCAAATCCCAGTCGAAGGTATGAGCATGACCAGCTAGAGTCTCAGCAAGACGATTTCCTTCCCTGTAAGCATGAGAAACATGAACAAGCCAGTCCCTTTGCAGATAATGACGAATATGATGAACCAAAGTACCAATGGGTGTTCCTGGTTACAGTCTTTGATAATAAAATCAATAGCCATCAACGAATCTCCTTCCAACCACACTCTACGATAATTCCTTCTCCAAGCCATTTGAAGGCCTAGAAGGCAACCCCAAAGTTCTGTTGTGAGAGAGTTACCCCATCCAAGGTATTTTGAGAAACCAACAATCCAACTCCCAGTATCATCTCTGAGAACACCCCCACAACCAGTACGCATTCCTCCCATTGTACAAGACCCATTTACATTGATCTTTATCCAACCGTCCGGGGGAAAAGTCCAATGAATATTTCTCTCTTCTTTATTCCTTTATTGAAGACCAGAAGACATAAAAAGAATTCTAGACTGTAGCACAGTCATGGTAACACCAAATTTGGCGAACTATGCTATAAGCATTAGCCTGAGTTCCTTCAAAGATGGTTTTATTTCTCGTATTCCAAAAATCAAAGGCCACTCCCGAGTCTCCCCATATCCCCAACCACGAGATTCGATTGCACCCAATCACTGAATGGCTGGGAGAAAAAACTTCTTTGTTTATTCTGCACAACAAGGTGTTTCCAAACCTCTCTTGAAATATGGCAATCCCGAATTGCATGGATTGAATTATCCTCTGATACTAAGCATCTAGAGCACATGTTTGATTCAGTCATATGCCTCTGAACTCGCTTAACATTTGCCAAGAGTTTAACCCCAACAAAGAGCCAAAGAAAGCACCGAATTTTCTCTCGACTAGGCCATTTCCAAAAAATTTCCCATGGAAATATATTATCTATCTCTTCTATTTGCGTAATGAAAGAGTATGTTGTCTTCACTGAAAAATTACTGTCACTTGTCTCTATCCAAATAACCTTATCTAGACCACCTTGCAAGAAAGGAGGCACAAGGTTTTGTATTGTTTGCAAAACTGAGTTTGACAACAGATGCTGAAATAAATTCCAATTCCAACTCCCTTGACTAGTTGCACACCCAGCCATCGTCCATGAAAGACTATCTTCAGGAATCATTTGCACCGCAAGCTGAGAAAGAGGAAGACAGTTAAGAACCCAACGATCATTCCAAAAGGACGTATTCTGCCCATTGCCAAGAAGAACGCGAGAATGATCCACCACTGATTGCCATATTCTAGATATTCCTTTCCACAAATTTGACCAGATTTGGAGAATTTTACATCATCGAATAGTTGGGTCCCCACTTTGTATTTATTTTTGAGTACTTTACACCACAAAGCTTCAGTATCAGTCATCAACCCATGAGCCACTTTCATAATCATAGCTTGGTTCATCTCTCTCATTTGTCTAATCCTTATACCACCGTCCTGCTTCTTTCTATATAAGGTAGCCAAGAGACTAAATGAGTCTTCTTATAGTCCACCGTATCTCCCCAAATGAAACCTCTAGTTTTGCGCTCCATGTCGTCACAAGTAGTTTTTGGGATTATGGAAGTTTGCATCGGATATAGAGGGATTGTAGATAGCACAGACTTAGCCAAAGTCATCCTACCAGCAAGAGATAAATTCGATTGCTTCCATGAATTTAATCTTATGTGAATTCTATCCAACACATAGCTAAATGATCTTCTCCCAGTTCTTCTATAATGAAACGGGATACCCAAGTATTGCCCCAAATCAGATGTTAAGGAAAATCTCATCTGCTCACTGATTTCTTGAGCACAGCTGTGATGGATATTATTAGAAAAAAAGATCTTACTCTTGTTGTTGTTCACCCTCTGACCCGAAGCTTTACAAAAACAATCCAAGACTTTCGAAATTAGACTAGCTTGCTCAGTTGAAGCTTTTGCAAAAATTAACAAATCATCTGCAAAAAATAGATGTGATATAGGAGGCCCATTTTTCTTAAGAACAATAAGCTTCCAACCTGCAGGGGATATTGCAGTATTAATAAGATGACCAATCCTCTCAATACATAACAAAAAAGATATGGAGAGAGAGGATCCCCATGGCGAATTCCTTTCGTAGGATAAAACTCCTTAGTGATGGACCCATTCCAAAGGATGTTCATAGAACAAGTCGAGACACGGCTCATGATAAGATGAATGAGATTGGTTGGAAATTTAAGATCATGAAGAGTATTTTCTAAAAAATCTCATCCCAGTCTATCATATGCTTTCTCCAAATCAATTTTGATTGCCATCCATTCTTGCTTGCCTTTCTTTGCACGCATCAAATGAATAATCTCCTGGGCAATAATGATATTATCTGATCCATGCCTCCCTTTGACAAAACTGCATTGATTGGGCATGACTATGCTAGGCATAAGTTCCTTCAATCGATTGGCAATTACTTTGGTGACTACTTTATAAATGACATTACACAAGCTTATTGGCATGAAGTGTTTAAACGATTCAGGGGTCTCAAGCTTTGGAGAAGTGTTTTCTATGTTATGCCCACTTCGATTTCTTTATTATCCATTTTTTTTTAAGATGGATCTTATTTTTTCTCTATCAGCTGGAAATTCTCAACTTCTTCCGTGATAGGAGAGTTTAAAAGGCATTTTCTTAATTAAGTGAATCATTAGGTATAAGTAAAATAATAAATAAAAAAATAAGTATAGAATTTGTTATTGTAAGAATTTCCTACTCTACATAGTTTAATTGATTATTTGCAGAAAGGAAATTTTTTTCCTATAACCACTAAAGACAAAAAAAAATTAATAAAGACTTTGTCATAGTTTATTATATTTTTTTGTCTATAGTGATTGCGAGAAATTTTTTTCCTTCGTGAAACATAAGAAAAATAATTTCCTATTATTATATTATGTTGTTAACGCTGAATACAATATAACTAACCTATTCTATACCCAAAAAAAAAACCTATTCAAGTCCTTCACCATAAATTGCGCATCACTCAATTCTTTTTTTAACTTTCACTTTATGTGATTCCAAAATAAAAAAGTTTTCTTGTATTTTGGTCATTTTTTCTATTTTTTGAAGATTGTATAAAATATTAAGAGTAATACAAAGGCTTTATTAATTTCATGCAATAAAAGAGAAGTTTTCTTATGCTTATATATATATATATGGGTCAGGATCATTTTACACCAGTGTAAGTTACACTCTTAATCTTATCTGTTAATCCCACTTATATCTAAGGGCTCAAAATTTTTAGTAACGTGAGTCATTGGATACAAGTGGATCAATGGTCAAGATTGAGTGTAAGACTTCTAATTCTTACACCGATATAAGAATATCTTGCCCTTATATATATATATATATATATATATATATATATATATATATATAAACACAAAAATTAATGTATGTGTAGAAGAGAAAAATACTCTCCAATAACATGGGATTATATTTTTCCTAATACAAAAGGGAGGAATTCAGTTGCTTCCAAATGTAATTTCATTTCATCTTTTTTTATATATAAATAAATGAATAAATAAAATGTACATATATATATATATATATATGGTAAAATTATTTGTCCAGCCACTTGACGTCTTGCAATGGCAGATGTATGGTTATGATTCTCTACATTTAATATATATATATATATATATATATATAAGGCATGATCCTTTGACACCGGTATCAAACTTTAAAATTTAACATCAAATTCTAACCGTTGATTTCCGTCAATTAACGGTTATGATTTTAATCAATCAAACTTATTAATTAATTACTAATTCCAAATAAATTATAACAGTTGATTGGCGAAGATCAACGGTTAGAATTTGGTGCCAAATTTTAAAGTTTGACACCGGTGTCAAAGGATCTCTCTCTATTTATATATATATATATAAAGGGTGTATGTTTTCTTATGTTACATAAGAGAACAATTTTTCCTACACACACATGAATAGTTCCAAATCAGCTTTTTACTTTTTTTTTAATTTCAAGTTGATCCCACATTGAAAATTGTATCTATGGTTGGAGATATGTTCTCTTATGTAACATAAGAAAACATAAACCCATATATAAATAGGGTTATGTTTATCTCATTTTACATGAGATAAACATCTCTCCTACACACACAAAAAAGGATTGGGTCCCACCATTTTTTTTCTCTCTCTCCTCTTACATGTGGGTCCCACTTATACTTTTGTTTCTACAACATAAGATAATTCTTTTCCTACAACATAAGAAAAATATATCCCATATAAATATATATATATATATATATATAGTAAAATCATTTCTACAAATGCTTTACGTACAACAACGATAGGTGTATGGTTATGATTCCTCACATTTAATGATTTCACGTATATATATGACAAGTATTTGACTGCTGCACTATATATATATATATATATATATATATATATATATATATATATATTTATTTATTTATTTATTTATTTATTCATTTATTTATTTATTTATTTATTTATTTATAGATACATAGTGTTCATTTTTTCTGCGGTCAATATAAATAAGTTATCTATATTGAGCCCAAAATAACTATGTTTTGGGACGAAAATTAAGAAATTTTTTTCATTATAATTTATTTCAGAGTTATATCAGTCTTTGTCATTATAATTTTTTAATCTTTCGTTCCAAAACGACATCGTTTTGAGAGTGAATGTAAATAACTTATCTACAGTCACTGTGGAAATATTAAAGTCATATAGATATATATCCACTTGAGATAAACTTATCTCAAGTTACGCCTTTTAACTATGTACTATGGCAGGTAGTACATAGTTATAATGTTAAATTTGCTCTCTTTTTTCTCTCTTCTCAATCAGTTTTCAGAACTTGTTTGCTGACGTAAAGAGAGAAAAAATTAACTTTAACATTATACTATGTACTATCCGTAATACATATTTAAAAGTGATAGCTAGATGAGTTTATCTCAAGTGGCTGGAAAAATATTTTTTCATATATATACATATATATGGCATAAGTTATTCTACCTACCTTTTTCTGCCTACCACTCTCTAACAACATTAGATTAGAATTGCTTGCACCTACTTTTGTATGGTTATGATTTCCTGAATTTATTTGCTGGACATCAAGCGAGTGGAGAAAAGTAAAGCATATAAATATATATATATATATATATATATATATTTATATATATATATATATATGAAGGTTATACATACAACCAATTTTTGTTTACAACATTTTACAAACATATCTTAACCGTTGATTTCCATCAATCAAAGGTTATTATTTTCGCAAATCAAACTCATTAATTAATATTCAATTTACAATGAATGATAACCGTTGATTGACGAAAATCCACGGTTAAGATATAGTTGTAAAAGATTGTAAACAAAAATAGGTTGTAAGTATAACATTCCACACACACATATTATGACATCTTTAGGTTCAACTAAATTTAAAAAATAAAAATAATCCAAAATATGAACTTCAATTTTAATTATGAACTTCAATTTTAATTAAGGTTGTAGTAAAAAATTTAATCTTGACTAATTTATTTTAATGAGTCAAATTTGAATTATATACTTATTTCTTTAAAATGTTAAACTTAAAGTCGGTTTATTTATTTATAATTTATTTTATTTCAATTTATTAAATTTTCCGTTGAAGTATTTTTTTAAATTTATTAATTTAATATTTGTTAATTAGTAGGTTTTTTAATCTAGATGTTGAAATGAAAGTAGAAAGAGAATAAAACATTATTTGAAAATTAAAATTAAACAAATAGTTTCCAATAATCCAAATCAATATCCCTCAATAATTCAAAATCATTGCCAATGCAAGTCTATAGACTTGATAATTCAAATAAGAAAAAAAACTATGATATCAAAATTTTCTTTTTTCTTTTTTTGGTGTGGATATCAAAATTTTCAAATCAAGGTGTATTTGGATAAAAAAAAATTAAAAATGCATTTTGTGATATATTAATTTTTTAGAATATATTTTGAGAAATATACTACATATATTCTTTTAGGGTTTTCATTTTTCTAAAAAAAATAATCCAATTATCATATAAAAAAAAATTTGAGCACGTTCATATTCTTAAAAAAGATACACAGGCCCCCAATCAATAATTCGTCATTACTGAGTTTCCCAAAAAAGTTGTTTGTCCCAACTCCCAAAAATTTCTAAGTCTTTTAATTTATTTAAAATCAATATCAAAATTTATTTAAAATTGGTAAGATCCAATTAAACGCACAAGTAAGCATCACTAATACTAGTGGACCTTTACTAAAAATTCCCATAGTTGTTGAATTTGAGGTTTTATGTACATTCTATGAACATAAAAACACCAATGATACATAAATAATGTTGCAACTCGTGAATGCCTAGTTGAGTTTGCCATTAGATAATGCTTAGCCTACCAACTCTTCAATCTCATCCTCAACTTGCTGATGCACAGACATATATATAACACGCATCTCAAGCGAGTGTTCCTTTCAAGTTTGAGAGGAAATAAAAGCCAAATGCAAGTGCTCAGGTGAAAATCTGTGTTAATAATTCTACATTGCCAATACACGTATTACATAGAATATCAACATTTATTAATGCAGGCCACACTACAACACTTCTACATGCATTTCTGCATCTTGCTGTTGGTTTATCAGGTATTTGATCAGGCAAATAATTAAAGAAACCATTTATCACGTTAAATAGCTTCTTTCTCTCGCTCTTATACAATGGTCACACTATCCCAAGTAAGTTCTTTCTCTCGCTCTTTTCTCTCTTTTTTGTGGGTATATTTTTCTTTCTTATTTTTAAACGGCCTTGTTTATACAAAGTTACAATACAGAATACATGAGTACTAATTGCTACACCATAAATTGTAAGTTATGCGACAACCAGCTAAGCCATAAATTCATGCCTATTTCTGGCTATGATACAAATAACGAAAATACAGGGATTTTGACAACATCATAACTGACCAAATCTTGATCTTGAACTATGACCTAAAACCATTACAAGTACAGCAGATATGTTCAATCACATCATACTATTACAAAATTGTGAAAAGCTAAGCCTTGCATTCTATAAGAAGCAAGACACGAGACTGACAAGCTTGCATATGTTGATTTGCTTTCATAGCATCATTTGTCCAGATTGCTAACTGAACAGCCAAATTAAGGAATCATTCACCCCTTTTAAGAGTTTATTCATTTGTAGCACTAAGTGCAGACTGCAGCAGTGACAGAAAATTTTCAGAAAAAATGGTCTTACTTCTTACGCTGCTTATGTTTAACTCTCACAAATTTTCGACCAGACTTGTCACCACCACCAGTGCCCAATGAGAAACTCCCTCCAGCATTAAATTCTAGACTGCCAGAAGCCTGAAATGGAGATGGGTTCTGTGGAGCAATATTCTGTTGACTCGCATACTGGAAAGGATTCGCTCCGGTTGGAGTTGATGCTCCAAATACAAAATCTGATTTAATTGGGGGAGGTTGTTGACCAAATACAGGAGTGGCGGGCGGACCTGCTTGAACTGTGTCCTCAGCCATACTGTCCTCCATGCTCATCTGATCATTATTAGCAGAAGCTGAAGCATATGTGAATACAGGACTAGCACTTCCAAAAGCAGGCTGCATGTTGGTAATAGCTGCAGCTGAAGTAAATGCGAATTGAGGACTAGATGCACCAGTGGAAGATCCAAATATGGGTGAACTGGTAGAAGCAAGAGGAGTGGATGTTGCAAAAACAAACCCAGAGGTGCTGGGCTTGCTGGGCTTCCAACTAGAAAGTCCAAACAAAGTAGAACTTGAACTACTATTGGAGCTAAAAGTAACAGGGTTGCCGGAAGCAAGGGTACTTTGTCCAGAAGTTGTACCAGAGTTGAAAATACTAGCGCTGGTACTTGAAGAAGTAAACAATGAACTCCCTGAAGAAAAAGTTGTATTCCAAGTCAACCCAAACAATGGGGATGATGCAGATGAACCAAATCCCACTGACTGATTCTGAGTAGAAGTTGTAAAACCACTAGTAGCAGAAGGTGCCAGCATACCAAGGACAGACCCACTTGTAGTGCCAAAGACAGAACCCTGAGACTGGCTATATATAGTGGTCATTACCGGGGAACTCAACCCAAAAATGCCACTCCCTGTGCTACCAACAGCAGCAGAAGAGCTTCCAAAGGCAGTACTGCCTAGATTACCAATTCCTCCATCCTGCCTGCTCTTGGTTTCCACTGGTTCTGAGCCAGACGATGATACAGGTAAACTTGTTGATGATAAAGGAGTGGATCCAAATTTGAAGGAAGTTGTAGGATATGAAGATGCCACCACTTGGGTGGAGGAACTGCTCGGGGTGCTAGTTGTCATGCTAGTGCTAGAGGAAGTTGCTGTGGCACTAATGCTGCTGCTGCTTGCTGAAGATGCCACCACTTGGGTGGAGGAACTGCTCGGGGTGCTAGTTGTCATGCTAGTGCTAGAGGAAGTTGTTGTGGGACTAATGCTGCTGCTGCTTGCGGCAAGGGAAGAGCTACTGGATATATTCTGACTAAAACTATTTGTACCAATAGATGGAAATGTAGCGCTTGAAGCAACACGTCCATTATCTTGATTTAATCTGTTGCTAAAAGTAAATATATTAGCAGGTGATGTCAACAATGATGTCGATGCTGCAGATGAAACAGCTGGCTCTGATGACGGAGGAGAAGATCCAGCAACTATATTAGTCTTAGCATCAGCATTATCTGATTCAAGAACTTTTGGCATTGAATCAACAGCAACAGGAACAGTAGTGGAGCTGCAAATGAAGGGAACATTTAATATATTTGTTCATTGTAACACTTCACTAAACATAATGTAAGATCCCTTATATCTCTTCACAAACTCAACTGAACAGTGTGTCAATAACTAATCACCACTTGATAAATTTGGCGAGTCAACGACCATGAAACTGTGAATGCAAAATGTGTTTTACAAATCAAATGACACCGGAACAGTAGCAGGGAAGAATGAAAAGTATTA